CTTTACATAATCACATTCGGGCTTTACTTCTTAATTAAGTAAATCATCTTTTGGAAAAAGTTATATGTTCACAAAATTAATCAAATAATATGTATCCGTAAGTGTATAGAAATATGATTCTATACGACATCTACTATTTCGAAATCCTAGACTCATGTAGAAGAAATCATAATGGATTTCAATCGTCTTCAGCCATCTTAGTTCAGCTGACTAGTGAGAGATAATGAATGTGAATCATAGATTTCCATATAAGGAAACTCTCAGTTGTTCATTATCGTTCTTTGTATCGCATATGTATAAACCATGAAAAGATTTTTCTAAACATTTGAGACTGCTTCATAGATGAATTTAAGTCATGCGAAATGATAATTAAACTATATGTGCACATAGGATCTGAGATATCAGTGGTTTGTTGAAGACTAAATCATCTATAACCATATAAGGAACCTATCAACTGTTAATTATTATTTTTTGACATTCTTTATATCTCCTCAGCGCTGTCGAATTTCGAAAAACAGATTTCAGATATGCACTTGTCACGTTCTCAAGATGTCGCCAGGCTTTTTTTCGACTGAAAATGATACTCAGGAGCTGAGAACAAGTGGCTGACTTGGATCGTGACTCATGGGTTGAGAAGAAGAAGAAGAAGAGTTTGCCATGACAATTAAGCAAGTGAAAAGCAATAAGTCAGCCACTGAGCACTTCGTGCAGTCAGCCGACTTAAAAATGTAAATTCAAATCAATTTCTCACAAGCTGTGTTGATTATAAGTGTTGATTAGACTCCATAGAATATCGAGAAATACTCATCAATTATTAAAAAATAGAATTATTGAATTCCTCAAATTAATTCAAAGGTGATTAATACCTCACCAATAACATTTTAAATGAACCGCATTGAAATTTCTCTTTATCTGAGTTGAACTCGATACAAATAAAAACAATTATTTTTATTATTTCTTTTTTTGTTTTGTTGAAGTCAGATGCAAACATGTAGCACGTATGATCAGTTAAAACAGATGCATCTATCTTTACGTTAGACTCATAGGGTGATATAGCTCAAGAGTACGTATCTTGTTAAACGATTATGAATCCTTGTATTCTAGCCGACTTCACTTCACAGTTTTATGTGTCACACTTAGGAAGCATTGCACCTAAGCCACGACCATTGCCAGTAGAATCTTGCTCAATCAGTCTCACCGATTCGGTTGATATTTTTACAGTAGATAGATCTGGCAAAGTTAGGAAAAAAACTGAAAATTTCGGCTCAAATGAAGTAACTATTCTGGAGATATAGACATTGAAAGTATTGGTACTCAGTCAAAGTTGGAATATTTTGTAGTGCAATACTTTTCAGTCAATTTTCATTTTCTAACGAACAATAAAAGTCATCACCAAGATTTTTTCACCATAGATAATATCGAACATAGGTTATCTATTCATAGTAATAAAAGTACTTCGCCCTCAGCTAATTTTTGCTTGGCACTAACTATATACTATTTTTCGAAAGTATGCCCACCATATATAGGGCAAATTGGTCGAATCAGCGTAGCAGAATAGCTCAAGCAGTAGTCTCATTGCAAAGAGCATATCAAAATGCATCGACTGACGTTGTCAAAAAGTTGTGGCATTGAATTTTTCTATAGTTTTGTTTTCAACACTATGTGGTTTTTTTTATCGAAAGTCTCCATTTGGACGAAATAGTTGTATCCGATATTTTTAATATTTCATTTTAATAAATTAGTGCTTTCGGAGAAGTAATTATACATTCTGATAACGCATGAAATTCTCTACAATTCCATATTTGTACATATTGAACTGCACTTATTTGATAAAAAAATTTTAGCACAATAAAGATGCTCTCATCTACGGATTCGTTCGAACTACATTTCTTGTTCTCTTTTTATACATTTTCTGAGCTTTACTTTGACTAAAAGATAGAATATTACAAAAGTAAGTTATATATTCTAACAGAATGTGAAATTCTCTATCACTCTGTATGTCACGAACTGAATCATGATAAAATAAAAATATCGAGCTCGACTATTTTTTTGACAGGTGCACGCAAAAATGCATAACTATTTCAGAAAGAATTCATCAAACTGAAAGAAAATTTGAACTGTTGAATAGTTTTAAATGCAAAACTTGATTGTTAAAAAAGTATTCATCAATCTTTTTCATTAAATATCAGCACATTGAAAGATTTATTTCATATAGTCCTAAAGCGCCAATAGTCACAAATTGTCAAAGCAGAAGAAAAAAATCTAAAACATTGAGCGCAAATGTTGTCAAATCGGCACCCTTGTAGGGTTTGGGTGTGGGTGAAGCTGTGGCTGTGGGTGTGTGTGGATGCAGATTTTGGTGTTCGTTCATTGAAGACCACACCACATATCCACACACACCCACCCATCCGATTGGTGTTCGTTCAATGGAGACCACATCCACACCCACATCCAAAAACGAAAATTTGCTGAAAAATATTGCGCTACAAAATATTCCAATTTTGGCTGAGCACCAATACTTTCAAGGTCTATATCTCCAGAACAGTTCATTCATTTGAGCTGAAATTTCCAGTTTCTTTCTAACTTTGCTAGACCTATCTACTGTAAAAATATCAGCTAAATCCGTGAGACCAATTGAGTAACGTTAGTCGTAGTTTACGTGCAGTGCCCATTAGGTAACAACACTTGTTCTATTCATGTGCCTCTAGAAAAGAGCTGACTATCGCTTAATTTTGATGGTGACGCAGTGTGATCTTGCAAGAACAAGATCTTTTTTTGAAATATTAACCAAACGCGTTTAGACGTGTTTATGTTTTTTAACGCGACTGAACGCAATTGTATTTTTAAACACGTTTGAGAAATCTATCTAAACACATGATGTGTTTCATTTAAGATGTGTTCAGATGCGTTTCTGTAGCGTTTCGAACACAGTTGAATCGCATTTGGAAACACTTTTAGCTACCAGAAATTTTTACATGGTTTCCACCTTATTATATGTCGCATATATGGAGTATACTCTTACGTAAGATTCATAAAATTGATTACGTGATACTTCAACAAATGAACTGGCACAGAAATGTGTTGCCTGGTTTCGGTCAAAGTGAAATTTGTTTACTCTTCGTTCCTGCATTATATATGAGACGAATTCAATCGTTATACACTCATCGGTGAACGATCACTCTCTGCATCATTTTTTTCTTTTGTTCTATTCTTCTTTCTCTCTCTTTCGCGAGCAAGTATAAATACTTCTGTTAGTGTACTGGCCATCAGTCATTCTCGGTTCACCGTTTCTCTTCTCTCTGCTTCACTCTGTGTTCTGTTTCTGCCATGACAACATTCCAACCAGTTAAAAATTCGAGTCGATGGTATTATCATCATGAAAGGAACCTAATTTTAATGCATTGCAATTTCATCCATGAAAACGAATATTCTCATCTAAAAAAATGAATTTGGTTAAAAGTCAAATTTATAAAACGTTTTCTATAAAAAAAAAGTTTTCGTCGAGGAAATTCCAATCCGTAAAAACTAATGCCGGTTTCATCATTCGGAATTAGAGGTGATTCTTTATCTTTACTGTCCTTTGTAATAAAGAATAACGATAAATGAATCTTTTATCGTTAAAAAATAAAGATAAAATAATGGAATAACAGATATTTTTACAAGAGATAATGCGACTGGAAGAGTTCTAGAGCCTAGGAATGGTCCTTTTAATTTAGCTTCAAATTAAGTTTAAGGCTCTTACGTAACACTTAATATTAATGCAAAAAAGTTTAGCAATCGTCACTTAATTTCTTACTATTAAGTTAACACTGAATTCTTAAAATTAAGTATTATGAAGAAGTGTACAGCTCATGCTCATCAGCATGAGCAATTTTTCTGTCTCAAATAGGAGAGGTATTTTAACTTTGATTTTTTTTCATCAGGGAAAGGTTTTTTTCAAAGGTAACGATTTTTTATATAGTTTGACCAGAGGTTTTCGTGGTCGAGGAATTCGAATCTGTAATCAGTTTTTCGAAATTTTGGGTTTGATTTATTTCACTAAAATAAAGCTTTTAAAAAAAATTGATTGTTGATAAAGTTTAACGAAAGGTAATCGAGGTGGAGGAACCCGAATTCGAAATCGATTTCTCGAAATTTTGAATTGAATTTTTTCGCAAAAAAAATTATTTCTTAAAAAAATGTTTTTTTTTTCAAAAAAAAATTTTTATAAAAGAAAATGAAACTCAAAATTTTGAGAAACCGATTATAGATTCGAATTTCTCGACCAGATTACCTTTGGTCAAATTTTATAAAAAAAAATCGCTTTTTTTCTTAAAAAAACTTTTTTTAGTGAAAAAATCTTCATTTTAACTTCCATTGTTTTAAAGTTAAAGTTTAAAGTACATTTAGCTTTAAATACTTTATTAAAGTATTTTTACAGCTAAAGTGCCATTCCACGTTCTGGATTCCTAGGAACGGAATCCGAAACTGATACCCCTAGAAAAAATTTTAACGATTTCGTCGAGTTTAGTCGAAAAGATAGAAGAAAGTTATCCGTTATCTACTTCTTTTATGAACACAATATCAACTATAATTGACTACAACACCTGCTATCTGTCGTTTGTAAGTGATTTAGCTGATTGTGGTCCAATACTAATGGTGAGTACTTCATAGTTTAATATTTCATTAAAATAACTAATCATTTACAAGCAGCTCGTGTGGATTGGCCTATTCAGTGTGTTTCTTTTGAATATCTTAATAAGATTTTTGTCGAAGAATATTTGACAAGCAAATATATTATATCGGGCAAGCAACGTCATCGTATAATGATTAGCGAAAAGGATCTAATAGCTAATCGTCTACAACTATAAAATCTTCCTATTCACAATAACGTTGTTATTTGTCCGAAACATAGGAACTCATTTGGAACACGATGATATGATAAAAGTACCATTTACCATCATCCTAGTCACAATATGCAGCCGCGTCCTAGACCACTTGAGTGTCGAAGAACCAATTTAATGGAGTGTTGGCAGATTGATGGATTTCCTATTGGAGGAAGGTGAGAGCCTTATGTGACTGTTAATCTTAGATTTTATAAAAAATTTTTTGATATATTTAGGCTGTGCTTCAAACATAGAAAATTGATTCTTCCAATGATTGATGTTGAAACGTTTACTCATCCTAATTATAACCCATATGATACTTCGTTCGAGATCGATGACAGTCGTGATCGTAGGAATAAAATTTTGGATGAAGCTAACCTCAGTTTTGTCAAATCGCAGACAACTAAAGTATTTAAACAGTAGAGTAAAAGTGGTATTCGTCGCTTTCTATCGAAACTACAACGTGATACTCATATTTTGCAAGGTACAATATCATGAAAATGTGCAAAATTTTTATGTACGTGATTATTTCAGGTAAACTCGCTGAAACTTTGGCACCTAGCGAAGGTAATGCACTCCCGAGAAAGAACCAACTCGATCAACGTCCTCTTCAAGATGATTATGGCACACACATGGAAAATAACGAAGTGATAGAAAATATCAAGAAAATTATGACCAATGCGTAGTACCAAATTCTCTTACTGACTTAATTACCACATTTTTGGACACATCAGCCAGTCTACGTAAGCTACGATCAATTCATAGGTAGTGTGCTCAATCGAAGTTTTCAGATCTTGCTCAATTTAATATTTGTGATAGGAGCAAGAGTTTGATGACATTTGACGCAAGTCTCATCGAAAATTATTGAGCCCTCGATTTTTTACGAATTGTTTTCTACAAATCGTAAAAATGGCGGTCTTGTGCAAAAGGGCGTAGGTATGTGAGTGTGAGTGTGGGTGAGGAATCACCTGTATCCACGACTGCATGAACCTCACAGCAACATACACATCACAGCCACATTCATGCCTCTCCCACACCCTTTAAAATTTGGGTGTTTGGAGTGTTAGCATAAATTACTAATACTCTCATTATATCATCTAGTCAGCGATTAGTTTAGCTTATTTAGTCTCGATCATTGAATGTAAATCAGTCAGTCTGCTATAAATAATAATTTTTCTTCATGTGGTAATATATGTAGAGATGCAACGATTACGGTGAACTACCAGTACACCATCTTTCGGAGCATCGCCCAACAATGTTACTGTACCACCAGTGCATTAGAAGCTGGCGGTGCCAGTTAGTGAAAACGAGAAAAATGATTCCAATTTCGGTCCTTAAAAAGTATCTTTGGAACCGGTGATCATATAATGGTATACCAGATAACTGATATAACTTTTTTTTCTATGTTCCATTTTTTGAGATTTTTAGTGTCTATAGTTTTTGAAAAGCAATATCTTCGAAAGATAATACAACAAAGAAAAAGAATGAGGCGATCATAAGTGTTAATCAGTTGTACAGTGTTTTCGTTGATAAAGAATCATATTCAGCTGGAACTTCGTACAAATATTGGCGATATCTAGTTACACATAAAAAAAGTTTCAGCTTTATATCTTGTTCTTAATGTGAGCTTGAGCAATTTTAATACATTTATAACACCCATTTTTTGTGCCTATCGCATTTCCAATGATATTTAGTCAATTCGACTGACAAAGTACATTCTTTTTCATTTTACAGAAGACACTTGGATCTAGTAACTTTCACAACTGTTTTCTTTTTGATTTTCTTCTTTTCGTCATCTTCGGACACATATTAAGTCAAAAAATTTTCAATAAAGCTACGAAGTTTTATGAAAAAAGCCAAATTTTGATAACATTTTGTTTTCTTTGCTGAAAGTCATTTTTTTGAAAAAAACTAGAAGAGTTGGTAGCCATAATCATAAGCTTACAGACAAAAAGATATTTGAGTTCACCTCTTACTATGATAGAATATCATTGGAGACGTATCGATCCATAACTGCTGTAAGAAAAACAAACTTTTTTCCATAAAAACGATTTTTTAAGACGTAAAATCGCCTGTCTACGATAAAGCTCTCGCTTTTAATAGGGACATGAATCTAAGCCATAATAATTATGAAAATGTGTAGGGGCGTGTTTTATCGTGCCTTGTTTTGAAAAAGAGATATTTTGACGATGCTCGATCTTCTCAAGAACCTTGATCAATGTGTTAGCTGTTTTTGAATTCTGTTTTCATTCAATTGTGATAAATACGCAAAGTTTATCGCTGACGGAATCTCAGACTGATCTCTCTAACTTTAGATTACACAACAGTGCAATAGGTTCATAATTATCAGTAAAAAATTTTCGATTCTAACGATTCCGTGTAGGAGAAACTGGAGAATTCCGCTTCTGGCTCAGTTTTCGTTCCAATTTTTTAGAACCGCCGCACTCTACAATACACTGGTGTAATTGCGCTGTCTTATAGCGGTCTACTTCAGAGTATAGCTGATAAGATCAATGAAGCTGCTGAATATATGTAAAAAATCCATGATGAGGAATAGCAGTAGACCACTTAACTTAAAGTAAAATTGAGTTACGTTTTATCAGTCAACACTTAATTCACTTAAGATTAAGTTCCAGTGACTGTGCTAGGCAAATTTCATTTTATTTCGAGCTTTTCTCTACTCTAATAGATATTCACTATCATGTTGTCCAAATCATTGCAGAGAGACCTTCTTCTAATCCCATGAGACACCAGACAACGATAGTTTTTGCCCTTATGATAGTGAAGAAATCTTTTGCTGAAATCTGATTGGTTGGAATGAAAAAGGTCTTAGCCAATCAGATTCCAGCTAAAGATTTTTTTTATTATTGTAAGGACAAAACATTTTGGACGAAATTGTTTGCTGGACTTTGATTGTCTGAAAGCTTTTTCTTTGCAACCAGTCAGATTGCAGCACAATATTGCTTCACTATTATGAGTAGAAAACATGGTGTTGTTCAGACTATATAAAAGATGACCCGTGCTAGCCCCTGATCGGCTCCAACAGCATGATGTTTCGCCTCACTATGAATGCAGCGGTGATGATGAACCACGGGTTCGCCGTCTATCAGTGCATCGCCCAACAGCGTCACCGTACCTAAAATGCACTATCATCGTTGCATCCCTAACTATATGCATAAAGGTTTTATTTGAATCCATAATTTACACAAAGAATATAAACAATCGACAGAGTAAAATCTCAAAGCAAACCGAAACAGTATATGTAGTAAATAGCAAATCTCGCATTGGTCAAAGATTAAAACGAAATGAGAATGGTAGTACGATCTGAATAGTTTAAATAACATGCTTGAGAACAAATGCATATGAAAGATGTTGGTAAATCAACTTGATAATTTTGGTGTAACTCTTCGATTTTACTTTATTAAAAGAAATAACAGGATAAATCATATCTGTCAATGATACTTCATATCCTGTAAATAACAGCTATTCAAATTGAGTTTCATTCCGAGTGCGTTAGTGAAGTTTACATTCGACGTTGATTCGATGATACATTCGTATTTGATCATAGACTATTCCTTTAATTTCATCCGTTTACGTGCACATCAGTATATTAGTTCTCCTATTTCTCTGCTCGAATACCGTATATCCAACGAAATCACATCCTGCCAGTAGAATGTTAGGGACGTTTCCATAGCGTTATACTTGTATTTTTTTTACGCCATACGTTACATATAGACATGACATAATGTAATAGTAAGCATCGTTGATTATACTTTGCCTCGATGAGTACACTTAAGAGAGAACATATTTCAATTCATTCTGATTCACGTCAGTTTTGTTTACTCTTCGGTTCTGTTCTGTTCTGTTCTGTTCTGTTCTCTTTTCATTTGCATGGCATAACTATTTCTTTCATTTATGTTGTTACAAGAATTCGAAGGTAGTAAGTGTGAGCGCACGCAATCTTCATTCTTCTTTTCTATGAATTTATTCAATACATTAAATTTACACTAGCTGTTAAGACTACTCTGTATACATACATTAAAGTCTGTGACAAAACACATGTGTCATAGCTCATTAACGAAATTTTTATGTTCGCATCAAGTAATCAATTATATTTTTATGTTATTATAAAATAATTTTAGATGAAAATGAATTTCTTGCTATTATGGATAAAGTATTATAATTTTTTTCTTTACATATGTTTTCAAATAATTATTGAAGGACAAGGCAATGTATTTAGTTGAATGTGCTGTTAAATTATTTTTATGATGATGTCGGATAATTTAATGCCATGACTCGACAAGACAATATACTTTCTCATTCAATAAATATCGTATTATATGAATATTTAAAATGAATAACTGTTTTTCCAAAAAACTATATCTGGTTATTTTAATGATAAAATATTTCTATAATTATTAATTGATAATGACGATTATTGCTTATATTTATTAACATAGCAGATTAAAGTCAACTGCCCTTTATTTAAACATGATTAATGTATGAAATATATTCTGGAAGAATAAACCAAGAATAAATTACAGCATTATATCAGGCAATAAATTACTGATAAAACTTTCAACACCATTGTACACTCAGGAAAAAATGATCTATTACTGAACCTTAAAAGTTTCACATTTGGGTGCGGAACTTTTTTTGGTTTCACAAAACGAAAATCGTTTTGCACTTTCCGTGCTAGCCATTTTTTGGTTTAGAAAAATTCGACGGGTTAAGTATTTTTCATACTAAACCATTTCTAGATATAGTTCCAAGGAGTTAAGTATATGAATAAGCATTTCGGTATACAGATAAGAGATTACATACATCTATAAGAGATCAGATATAGTTATAAGAGAATAAGTATCGGAAGAAGGGTTTATGTATAGAAACTAGTGATTAGATATACAAATAAGCAATTAGACATAGTTATATGGTATTAAGTATAGGAAAAAAGCTCTTAGTATAGAAATGAGGGGTTAGGTATAGGAATAAGGAATTCGATATTATCATAAATGGTTAACTATAATTATAAGAAATTAAGTATAGGAACAATCATTTAGGTATAGAAATAAGAGGTTAAGTATATAAATAAGACTTGTGTTGTAGAAAAAAGGTATTGGAGATATTTATGAGGAGTTAAGTACAAGAATAAGAGGTTATGTATAGTTATAAGGGTTTATGCGTAAGAATAAGGGTTTAGGCACAGAAATAAGGGGTTCAGTATAATTATAAGGAGTTAAGTATAGAAATAAGAGTTTAAGTGCAGAAATAAGGGATTAGATATAAGTATAAAGGGTAAACTATAAATATAACGGTTTAGACATAGTTATAAAGAGTTAAGAATAGGAACAAGAGATTAAGTATAAGGTCAAGTGTTTTGGTAGAGAAATAAGGAGTTAGATATAGGTATCAGGGACTAGACATAGTTATAAGGGATTAAGTGTAGAGTAAGCGTTTAGGTATAGAAATAAGTGCTTAAGTATAGTTATAAGGATTTAGGTATAGTAATAAGAGATTATATATAAGTATAAGGAATTCCACATAGTTATAAAAGGTTAAGTATAGGAATAAGTGTTTAGGTATAGCAATAGGTAATTAGATATAAGAATAAGGAGTTAAGTATAGGGATAGATGTTTAAGTGTAAAAATAAGGGGTTAGATTTAATTATGAGAGGTTACACATAGTTATAAGCGGTTAAGTATACAAATAAGGCGTAAGTATATGAATAATAGATTAGATGTCGAAATAAGAACTCAAGTTTAGAAATAAAGGGTTAGATATAAGTACAAGAGATACACATAGTTATAAGAGATTAAGTGTAGAAGTAAGCGTTCAGGTATAGAAATTAGTGATTAAGTATAGTTATACGGATTTAGGTATAGGAATAAGGGATTATATATAAGTATAAGGAATTCCACGTAGTTATAAACGTTAAGTATAGGAATAAATGTTTAGGTATAGAAATAGGTGATTAGATATAAGAATAAGGAGTTAAGTATAGGGATAAGTGTTTAAGTGTAGAAATAAGAGGTTAGATATAGGTATAAGGGATTACACATAGTAAATAGGGATTAAGTATTGAAATAAGACATAAGTATAGGAAAAATGGATTAGATATAGGAATAAGGAAATAAGTATAGAAATAAGGGGTTAAATATAAGAATAATAGGTCAGATATAAAAATAAAGGATTAGATATATGAATCAGCACTTAACTATAGGCATAAGGGTAAGTCTAGAAATAAAGGTGTACATGTAAGTAAATAAGACAAATTGTATTTATATATGGATCACTACAACACTCTTAGTACGAATCATTATTTTCGATTGGGTAAGAAGGTTTTGTAGGAAAACTCTTCTACAAAACTCTATTTTATAGTAGTCCAGAAGAGTTTTGATACGAAACCAAAAAGGGTTCTTCCAGTGGGTATACGCGAAGAACCTTGTTTTGGTTTCGTAGAAAACATTTTCTGTTTAGAGTGTAAATCAGAATATCATATTGTAAGATGCGTGTCGTATGAAAATTATTATATGAAATCGGTTGAAAACATGTCAAATGTATCTATTAAGGAAAACAATTTGTTTTGAATATTATAGTACGCGACTAACCGATTAAAATGTGTTTTGATATGTTTGAACTATTTAAAAAACTATTGTTATGCATTAAATTGGACAATATTTGATTACATGACGTATCTTTCATTACTAAAACCGTAAGATGCATCTAATCATACAATTATTTATGAATGAATTGGATATCATATAACTTACATACTTACTCTATTTTATAAAAATCATGTTTTCTACAGCACATTTACGACTATTTCTATAGCCATTTATGTAATAAAATTATTATTGATGCGATCATTCGGGAAAAAAAACAGCTAAAATTTGACTTTTCAATCTATATTATTTTGCGTTTATCATTAGAAACTATATTTCGTCTTCCTGGCATATTTCACCGTCTTAATTTTGCATCAAGCAAGTCTGATAATATGTGTTTTATATTTATTATTATTATTAAGTCCTCAATAAGTAAAACTCCATCCATTTATAACGAATACATCACTCTATAGGTCGACCACCGGTGGCTTTAAACGTCGTACACAATAAATAACAATCAAAACCTATCACACCTTGCGTATGTACCTAACATGAATCCATAAATAATTCAAGTTTCCCTAATCCCATCAGAGATAAAACACATATGAAACAGCTTTACGACACTATAACTTATATCAATCAAGAGGAAACTTTATTAACATTGAAAACCTTAGCCATCACAAATAAAACGCTCTATGTATTGCAGTCTGTCGACTCATCAAGCGAATACGAATACTTATTTGCAGCAATCCCTAAATGTTCTACTTAAAAATGCTATTACTACGAGACAATTTCTTTTCAACACGGAATTACTGACAAACCACTCATTCATTTACGCATATTCATTCACTTGGAATAACACGATCTTTCAGGACTCCGTGACACACAAAGGACGTCACGATACATGTCGCATTCAATCCATTCTATATGACTCAATATTTCCTAATACTCAACAACTTACCTATACTTTTCCGATTTCCTATAAACCACGACATACTAAAAACCCATCATACCGATCAAACTACTTCCTTTCCACGACACCTTCATTTACTAAAAATTCTACTCTTCCCTGACAACCCAAATATATTTTACACGCATCATTATTTCTTAAAAACTGCTATTCTATCACGTTGCCTTAATTTATTATGAATCATAATGTTAAACCTGGTCGCAAACATCCATCATCCACTGCAATGTATATTTATAATTCGTCTTTTCTCCCGTTTGCGGTACTTTTCTATCAATCATAACAGTAAACCAACGTTCCATGGCGCAACAGTGACTCTATTATTTGCCTATAATTCGTGCTTTCCCTCTCCGCAAGTTTACCGCTCACAATAATAATGAAACTGGGTTCTCCAGTACATCAGTAACTAAATTATCTATCTATAATTCGCTTTTTCTCTCGCTGTTCTCATTTATTATTACTCATAAACCTAAAGCCAGCTTCGATAATGCACTATAGACTCCGTTATTTATCTATAATTCCTTTCTCTTCCGCTGCCATAATTCTCAACCGATTATAACATTAAATCCGGCATCACTGATGCATTAGGACTCCACCAATCGCTTATAATTCGTAATTTATCTGCCTCTTCAAAATTAATTGTTTAAAAAGATTCTAAATCTGACTTCGCCAATGCTATGGTAAGAAAATTCTTTATTTATAATTAATTACTTTTGGTTTACTCTTGCTTACTATTGATTCTAAAAATCAACCAGCAGTGCACGACGTGTAAGCGACTCCACAATTCATTTACAATTCATTAAGCAACTTTCTTGCACTAATTTACTGCTTATTCTAAGAATAAATCAAGGTTCCAAGATACGTTAGCGACTCTATTATTCATTTATTATGCGCTTTTTTCCTGCGGTCACCATTTGCTTTTGACAATAATAGTGAATGTGCGTGTCATGATGCATTAGTGACTTTTCCGCGTCCTATTTCGTTCTTTTCTTTGCGCTCCGTTCCATCGCTATCAATTCTAACCGTAAACCCAAGCTGAATGATATGTCGGTAAGTACCTTTCTTTCTGGAATAATTCACTCTTTTTCAGATGTTTTGCTTCACCATCAGTTATAATTGTAACCCCGCCATACACGATGCATCACTGCTCACGCTATAAATTCATTCTCCACGTAATCTCAGCAACCCTATAATCCGCACAAAGGCGAGAGTGAATCGCGATTTCCTAATGCATTGCTGACATTTCCATATCTTATCCCCTATATTTCCAGTCCCTTCATGTAATTTAAAAACAACCTTAAACGCATGCTGAATGACATACAGCTAAGTATCTCTTTTTCTTTGTTAATAATACATTGTTTCTAGGATAATTCCATTCACTAGCATTCCCTCAGTGAATCTCCAACGCACCACACATTATTGACTGCATTATTCTTTTATAATATAACTCGCTTTTTTATTGGGCGGCCTCATTTGCTATTCAAAAGAGTAGTGAATGGGGCGTCCATGATGCACTAATGATTTTTCCCAAAGTTGTCTCTATTCTTTGCGCTCCCTTCATTAATGATTAATTATAATGTTAAATGTATTTACAATGATGCATTAATGACTCC